GAGTCTCATCATTGAAGCCCCCCGCGATTACATAAGGGCCCTTCAGCGGGGGGATCGGTATGCCGAGGCCGAAGAGGTGGAAAAATACCACCACCACCCCGACCAGCAGCACCCGAAGGCTGACAACAAAAGCAACCGGGGTCCGGGGGCTCCCCCAAATCAATCCAAAGACTCGGCATCCCCTGGTGATCGCCCTCAGCAGGGCCAAGCCAAGTCCCGGGGAGGTTACAAGGGTGACCCGAAGACTTGGGCACAGCCCATTCTCCTGGACCGCCCCCGGACACCCCTGACGCACCCCGTCAGCGTTATCCTTGATTTCGCCGAGGAGAGGGGACTTGTTGAGCGCGACTCCCGCGCACCCCAGAGGTATATGCTATCAACCCTCAGTACCCCTACTGTCGTTTCCATCGGCATCAGGGGCACAAAACCGATGACTGCCATCAGCTAAAGACGGCTATCGAGAGATTGATACAAGCGGGCCATCTGTCCCAGTTTGTCCAGTGCCCTCGGCAGCAGGGTCCCCCCCACCAGATGCCACCCCAAGGGCACCCAGCGAAGGCGAACACGTGGGTCAACCCCAACACCACCCCCCTCGGCAAGAAGAGGGAGATAGGAAATATGGAAAAGGAGGAGGAGGAGTACCCCCACTACCAAGAGAAAAAGCGCCACATCCTCATTATCACCGGAGGCAACACCGGGGGCGACTCCACTAGCCAACGGAAGAAGTGGGCCCAATCACTTTACATGGAGAAAGTCACTCATATGCCCCCCGTAAAGCGGCTGAGGGAGGAGCCCATCACATTCACTAACGCTGATCTCCCCCCTACTTCCTCTCCTCACAGGGATGCTTTGGTAATCCAAAGTGAGATCAACAACACCATCATCCACAGAACTTACGTTGACATGGGTAGCTCCGTCAGTGTAATGTACCTCAGCACTTTCAGAGAGTTGCACCTGGAGAGGGGGTCCCTTCGGCCCATTAAGACCCCTCTTGCCGGTTTCACCGGCGACACCATTGATTCCGAGGGGGTCATAACCCTCCCGGTATTATTTGGCGACGGGCTCCATAGAGCCCAGCTCGAAGTGGAGTTCGTCGTCAACATCGACTGCGCTCACAACATCATCCTCGGTCGACCAGCCCTCGAGGACCTCGAAGCTATCATCTCCATGAGGCACCTTTGCCTCAAGTTCCCGGTCGAGGGAGGTATCGGCTACTCGAGGGGAAATAAAAAACTTGCCCGCGCTTGCTATCTTCAAGTAACGAAGAAGGTGAGCAAGACGGAACTCCGCGTTGACACCATCACCGGAACCGTCGAGAAGGAAGAAAATCGGCCGAGGGCTGAGCCGGTCGAAGACATTGAAGACTTTGCCCTCGATCCGACCAAGCCGAAGAGAGTTGTGAAGATTGGAGCCCAGCTCCCCGAAGACTTGAAGACTGGCATCATCAGCGCCCTCCGCGCCTACTCCATTGTTTTTGCATGGGGGCCAGAGGATATGCCGGGAATCAGCCGAAGGGTCATCACCCACCGCCTCTCGGTGGACCCTTCGGCCAAAGCTATATAGCAGCGACGAAGACCCCTCTCAGCCGAGAGGAGGGAATTTGTGAAAAAGGAGGTAGCCATGCTCCTTTCTATTAAGCACATCAAAGAGGTGAAATACCCCTCATGGCTATCTAACGTAGTCCTCACTCATCAACCCCTCGGCGCCCTCATGAGGAGTCCCACCAGCTCCTCTCGCATGGTAAAGTGGGCTATCTTCCTAAGCCAATACAACATCGACATCCGTCCGAGGCCTGCCATCAAGGGCCAAGCCCTGGCGGACTTCGTGACGGAGTGCACGGCGAGATCAGCCACAGAGGAGGAGCCCTTGGCTCCCTCGGACGACTAGTGGACCCTCTACACCGACGGCTCCTCCGCTATCAAGGCTTGTGGAGGAGGGGTAGTTCTCATCTCACCCGAGGGCAACTGTCCGAGGGTGAACCCCCTGCCAAACTAGCAAGGCTGAGGGCTCCCAGCTACACCATCGAAGACGGGAGGCTCTATAAACGGTCTTACAACGACACATTACTTCGATGCCTTCATCAAGATGAAACCGAAGTTGCGATGGAGGAGGTGCACAGTGGCACTTGCTCAGCTCACCAGGGACCCTTCTCCATGTCTCGAAGGCTCATAATCCAGGGCTACTTTTGGCCTACGATGGCCCGGGATTGTGCGGATCTCGCCCGAAGGTGCACCGCATGCCAACACTTCCAGAAAGCCCCCGACAGGCCAGCGGTCAACTATGCCCCCATCAGCACATCCATACCCTTCGCTCGATGGGGCATAGACCTTGTGGGCCCTCTGCCGAGGGGCACCTCCAACAACAGGTACATCATCGTCGCCATCGACTATTTCACCAAATGGGTAGAAGCTGAGCCCCTCGCCAGCATCACCGAGGCCAAATGCCGTCATTTTGTTCTCAAGAACATCCTCACAAGGTTTGGCGTCCCCCAGCAGATCATCTCTGACAACGGGACTCAATTTGAGGCAGTCCCCTTCTGCGCCCTCCTGGAGGCATGGGGGATCAAGCACACTTTCTCCTCCGTTGCCTACCCTCAGGGAAACGGGCAAGTGGAGAACGCTAACCGGACCTTGCTCGAGGGCCTCAAAAAGAAGCTGGAAGCCGAAGGGGGAGGCTGGGTAGAAGAACTCCACAACATCTTATGGGCCTACCGCACCACCCCTCGGCGGGCAACCGGTGAAACACCCTTCTCCCTTTGCTACGGATTCGAGGCCAAAGCTCCCACTGAAGTAACCCTTCCTACCCGAAGGGTCATCCAATATGATCCCGAGGTCAACGACGCCAACATGGCCCTCGACCTTCACCTTATTTCTGAACGCAGAGAGCGAGACTTCATACGAGCGGAAAACTACCGAAGGCAAGTAAAGGGTTACATTGACGCCAAAGTCCGCTCCCGGGAATTCCAAGTGGGGGACTACGTCCTCCGAAGAAGGGAAGCCAGCCAACCAACCGAGGGCGGCAAAATGGCCCCAAAGTTCGAAGGTCCCTATATCATAGCAGCCATCATCAAGTCTGGAACTTACAAACTCAAACGCCCTAATGGGTCAGAGGTCCCTAGGCATTGGAATGTACATCAATTAGTTAAATTTTATCAATAAACATTAGAGCGGCGAAGCCCTCATAACTATTGAATGTATTATTCTACCGTCAAAACCCTCCAATTATTGAAGAATGAAGACATGTTGAAGACACAAAAAATAGAAGACAAGACTCGTATGGGCGGCCAAGCCCTCATACAGGCCCCGGGCCAACCCTTATTACAAAAAAACCTTCCGGCACCAAGTGCCGAGGGGGACACATTCACCACCGACAACATTTGAAGAAAACACCAAGTGTTTTCAAAGAAGACCCCTCAGCACCAAGTGCCGAGGGTATGCACCCCTATCAACTCCAAGAGAATAAACACCAAGTGTTTCCTGAAGACCCCTTGGCACCCACTGCTAGGGGTGAACACCACCACCACCAACCACAAATGAAGAAAACACCAAGTGTTCTGAAGAAGACCCCTCGGTACCCAGTACCGGGGGTACAATACTACCAGCTCTCAACAGCGGAGGAAAACAACAAGTTTTTCTTTGGAAGACCCCTCGGTAACAAATGTACCAGGGGCTACACTCTGAAACTAACACCAAGTGTTGTTTCTAAAGTCGTACCCCTCGAGGACGTATATACCGAAGGCGTCACCTATCGGTGCCGGCAGCACGTAGTGCCACCGGCCATTTGCAACCAGTGTGAAAATGAAAACCCTTCCTTGAAACGCTTTCCGCGTCACTACCCCAAAGGTATGACAGGCAAGTTATATGCCCAGGATTTGACTTTCAAAAACGGAACGCTTTCCGCGCCACTACCCCAAGGGTGTGGCAGGCCACGGGGTATGCCTGACGCCGAGGATTCAACTTCCAAACCGAAACGCTCCCCGCGCCACTACCCAGAGGGTGTGGCAGGCCGCGGACTATGTCTAACGCCGAGAGGACGACTTTCAAAAATGAGGCGCTTTTCCGTGCCATCCCCAAGGGGAGGCGGGCTACAGACTACGTCTTGTGCCCAAGAAACGACCATCGATCCCCTCGAAACTCGGAAGGTTAACCCGAGGGGGAGAGCTAATGTTGTATTCTATTTATCTCCCGATAGGCCCAGCCTTACCAAGAAACCAAGTTTCTTGAAGCCTTCCCTTCACCACCAAAAAAAACCCCGAGGGGGTGAAGGGGGGTAGACTCAGCGAGAAATCAATGAGTACAACGCTCCAACAATTCACAACAGAACACCCTTCGGCATGACAACATTCCCGAAGGCTACTGTTCAACAAATATCACCAGGACATGGCTAAGTCCACAACCTGGTCGCCTACGACATCTATCAACACCGAAGGTTCTTCCCTACAAACGGATAGAATTGGCCAAGTCCACTCGACAACATCTCAAGGGATGCCGAAGGAACCTACGACGACATCAATGTTTCAAAAAATTTCCTAAGGCAAACACTTTGGAAACATGACAAGGGCCGAAGGCTCCTACGATCAACAAAGATCGAAGGAACCTACTACTACTCACCGAGGGCCAGTCCCACAGGCCACCTAAAAGACCGCAAACCTGAAGGCCCCACATACCGAAGGCCAGATGATATCCAAACACTTAGAAAAGTTTCTAAGTCCTGAATCTACGACCCTCGGCAAAACATCTCACAGCTAAAGGGACCTAGTAGCCAAAGGCACATGATACTTTGCACTTGGAAGATTGTGCAACCATTCAAAGGCTCCTATCTCATACACCTGGAGGGACCTACTAGCCGAAGGCTCAACATCTGAGTTACACTCAGAAAATTTTCTAAGTCCTACATGTTTGGCCCCCGGTCAAATCTTCACACCCCCACGGGGGAGCTGTCAACCGAAAGCTTCTTGTGGTAAAACTATATTCAGGGAAAATTTCCGAGTCCTAAGTATTGGGGCCTAGTAGCCGAGGGCTACACGATGCACTAAACTTCGGAAAATTTCCTAAGTCCTAGAAGTGGGCCCCTCGACCAAGCCACAAAACCAACACACATTCATACGCAAAGGAAGGAAAACACGCAGGACATTCATTTGTGAAAGAACAAACAAAGGAACAAGAAGTACATCCAAATACCAAAAAGCCCGGAGGCATCATGCATTCATTAAAAAAAAGGGAAAGTAAAAGTGTTGGTTACAGAATTGCCCGAAGCCGAGGGCATATTAATGTTTACACTACAAAAATTGTTCGAAAAGTTTACAAGTACAAGTTAGACATTATCAGCTAGGGGGACGCCCTTTTCTGCAGGCCTGGAGGTGACCTCATCACCAACGACCTCTTCATCATCAACTTCCTTCATCAGCTCAGTGTCCTCCAGGTCGGGCCTCTTTACGCCTAAGGGAAGGGGTTCACGGACATCCGGTTGAAGAAGGGGAAGACCATAGGCCGAAGGATCGAAATCTTTCGGCTCAATGTTCAGGTGCGGGGCCATCCTCCGATAGATGAGGGCCTGGGTGAAGAACTCGCCCCCATCATAGTATTCTTTGCCCTTTCGGGCCAGCCATTCTTCCCCAGGGCCCTCGCACCATTCATCGACGGACGCTGCCACGACCGAGGACATCCATTCCTTGCATTCCTCTGCTTTCCAGCCCTCGGTGACGAAGGCCTCCCGGGCAAGCTCGACTGCTCTCTTCTTGGCCTCCTCAGCCCCCTCGGCGGCTTTCTTGGCTTCTTCAGCAGCGGCCCTCTCGGCATCAGCTTTGCTCTTCTCAGCTGCCTCCAACTTCAGCTTCATCTGCCGAAGGTCCTCCTCCAACTTCGACATCAGCCTCACAGCTTCGGAGTTGTCGTGGACCAGTTTCTTCACCTTCTCCTCCTCCTGTGCCCTCTGAAGGCGCCACTCATCAAACCTGCGAGCATGCTCGCCGAGGGCTATGCATGCCTATAAAGCAACACAGAGATGAATTAGATTACGAAACGAAGTATGTTAAGTGTTGAGAGAAGGGGAGAAGGAACAAAACAGGAGGGGACTTACAGTAAGCGAGGACTGGAGGATCTTGGACTCGAGGGCTGCATCATCGAGCCTACCGAGAGCTCCCTTGTCCAACGGAGGCGTCACACCCTGAAGGAACTCCCTCAGGTCCACATTGCCATGGACTATGGCCGTACCCTTCAGGAGGGAGAAACTTATATCCTCCCGGGGCAGGCCCCCTCCATCCTCCTGTGCTTGAGGGGGGCTGGGAGCCACTGTCTCCATCGGATGCTCATCCACAATCACGACCGGGGGATCTTCCTCCTTAGCGTCTCCCTGTTTAGGCTTTTTCCCCTCAGGAGCCTTACCCTTGCCCGAAGCCTTCCTCTTCGTGGCAGCAACATCACCGCCCTTCTTGAAAAAGGCACATACGGGCTTCTGACTGCCCGCATCCGCCTCCTTCGGATCCTTGACAGATTTATTCTTCAAGCGTGCAAGGCCTTTGACATTCATTCTGAGCACCGGGATACCTGCAAAACAATAAAGGGTTAGGCTGATGGCTCAACAATAAAATAACAACTACACCAAAGCAAAAAAAAAAGAATACTAAGTACTAAATTTGAGATCCCTCGGCTACTACCTCCTGAACCCCCGAAGGCTCCGTCAAACAACGGATACTTCTCATCAGTCTCCCCGATAAAACGGTACCGCCGAAACCCGAGGGAATACAGGTCCTTCTCAAGCGTGCAGTCCTTGATGGTTATATTCTTGTTCTGTCCCTCCGGGATTTCGGCCAAGGTCATGCCAGCTTTCTCGAGGGCAGCACTCCGCACCTTCTTATGCCGCCGGAAACGATGCCGCAACTCCATCGGGAATGGGTTCTCGTCCAACTTCACATAGCACCATCGTTCTCTCCACCCTTTGTTTGAAGAAGGGGCGTCGGAGAATAACATGAACCGGGCAATCTGCTGCAAATTCACGTGTCCCTCGGCGTTTGCATGCCCCCCTCGGCACAGGTTAAAGCTCTGGAAGAACAGATCCAAGCTTGGCGTCACCCCCCGGGACTTGCAGAGCTGGAGGAACCCGACAATGTAAGAATGGCTGTTCGGGGTGAGTTGGCAAGGGACCAAGCCCACAAACCGGAGGTACTCCCGAAGGAAGGGATGCAGGGGAAACCGAAGGCCCATAGCAACCGAGAGGCTATGGACCGCTATGCAACCCTCGAGAGCCTGGGAAAGTATATCCTTAGGCCCCGGCTCCACCACAATCGCCGAGGGCCCTACATTCAGCTGCGTGACGTAGCATTCCGCCTTGTGAGCCTTCGACGTAATCTCCAACGCAGCAGTGTTTAGCCATGAATACCTCTCGGGCATATCGACCGGCCTCCCTTGATCAACGGCCCTAACCTTCTTCTGGGGAGCAGCCTTTGTCTTCTTCTTCCCGGGGGCCACTCTCAAAGGCGTCGGGTTCAACGGTCGGGAAGTGCTCGCTTCACCAACGTCATTCCGAGGGGGTGGCACAACGACAGTGACCATCATCGCCTCCTTTTGGGCCTCCTCCTCATACACTTGCCATGCGAGGGCTAGCTCCTCATCCTCGCACTCTTGTTCGAAGCCCTCGGCTTCCACTTCAGCAACGAGGGCTCTCTGCAACTCCATCGTTGCAGCAGCATCACCGCCAGCCGAAGGCTGACTGCTAGTAGACTCCACGTCCGAGATGGTTTCAATCTCCACTGAGGCCTCCCTCGAGATGTCTTGGGAATCACTAGCGGACGACATTTTGGTGGGCTAAGGAATAGAGATAATCTAAAGTTCGAGGGCACCCTAAGAAACTCTAGACACTTAAGTCTAAGGCCACAGAAGCAAAACTCACCAAGTAAACGGAGAACAGAGGAGGGACTGACCTTGAGAGCTGAGGATTCAACCGAAGGCAGGTTTCTCTCTCTACAAAATTTTTGCCAGAGCTTCGCTACACTGAAATCGCACAACGGAGAATGACCCTGGCCTTGGGGTATTTATAGGCGCCCAGATCCGGGCTTGGGCCCAAAAATCGGGCCTCCGGTCACAAAATCATCATTACGCGCCGTGGTTTCGCCCAACCGGTGACGCCGCCCGCGGGCAGCCAACCGTCGCACGCCACGTGTGCTCCCCCCTCCAACGGTCATATTACAACGGCTATATTCTGGGAACCCGAGGGTACGCCCTCGGGTAAACACTCCGCCATCAAGTGGAACCTGGCCCTCGGGCTTCATTCTTCACTCCACTTCATCAAGAGAAACTCCCGGGTTCACAACTGGTAGACCCCTCGGGGATCATCCCCCCTCAACACACTGAGGGCCAGGTAACCCCCCGGGGAGTACATCTTCAGCAAAACAATGAGACCCCTCGGGGTCATCACATTTAAACTCCTCATTGGTGGCCAGTCCCTGACACACAGATAATAGGACCCCTCGGGTACCCTCCTCCCCAACTAATCAACAAACAGGGGAACCCCCCGACAACACATCAACTACCACTTACATTCATCACGCCCTCAATCCTTAGATTGAGGGACTCCCCTTCGGCATCTCCAGGAAATCAGCAAAGCACCTTCGACGAATCAACGCACGCGCCCTCAGACGAGAACAGCCTTCGGCAACAACAGTATCATCATATTTAGACCAAGGCTTCACCTTTTCGAGTCATCCTTGGGGGAATTCGGTGCACTCTTTTTTCCTCATTGGAATTTTTCCCACAGGTTTTTTTCCAATGAGGTTTTTAACGAGGCATCCCCCAAAATGAAACGAAAAAGCGTAACCCTTCGACAACATACAACAACAAACAACACTCTACTCCTGTTCACCACATTACATGTGCCTCAAGGAGTGGGGGACTGGAGGACCCCTCCGGGAAAATTACAAAAATCCAAAAATTCCCCACAGCAGCAACATAATCCCTCAAGTCCCGACATGTGGGTAACTGAGGGACTGCCCTCGGCAGAATAAACAAACAACAAACTAATCACAGCTCTACAAACTACAACGGAACAACGGCGGAGGGCAAACACAATTACTCCTTTTCCCTCAAGTACCTTTCGGCAAAGGAGTGAGGGACTCCTGATGGAGTATATGGCCCAGGGACCCCCGACCCATAGATTCCTACTACTCCAGCGAAGGCCCAATAGGCCCAGTAAGCGCAACATGCCCAAATCATAGCGTCCAGAGTACCAAGCGGCCCACAGTGCACACTGGGGTGCCTTCGGCCCCTTGGCCGAAGGATCCAAATTCTCACAGAAACATTTATTTCAACTAAACAGGAAAACTGGGAGAATACGACGAAAACAGTAGCCCTCGGCACCTAAAGCCCTCGGCACTAGGAGTCCCCGGCATGGAGAGCCCTCGGCTAGTCACCTACGGCTGAGGGCACTTTCTACGACAGAATATCCCCTCCACATGCGTCTGAATCACCGTACCAAGTACGGCGTCACATCCAACCGCCACATTAAATGCGGCCACATGCGAATGCCAGTGCCACCCCGATGATGTGACCCCTCGGCCGTTGGATGCTTGACACGTGTCCCCTGTCCGCATTTATTGCTACTATAAATAGCACCCCATTTCCCCGTTGTAAACCACGACATTCACGCTCAATACATTCTAAGCAATATACTTTCTCTCTCTTACTTGTTCTGACTTCTCTCTAGGTTAGTCCCCGCAGTAACCCTTCGGATACATACCCCGGGTAGACTATCCATCACGAACCGATCCGGGTTATAACGGTTCAGTTCCAACCATTTTAACGGTTCCCGGATTCAAAATCCCACCCCTAGAAAAGATGGTATTCCTATAAAAATTCCTAACTGTGAAGGGCATATACTGATATACCTTTTGCAGCAGCCGTAAGGGTATACGAAATTACGAATCAGATTTCCTACGTCCATGATATGCTCTCATCTCTCACCTGTATACGTACCCAGATATAAATCATACACACCGTATAGACTATAGAAGACTGATACATTGTGGAGCAGCAACGACATGGATTTGGATCAACTCCAATCCACTTTGCGAACTTTTGAGCTCGCCTGCACTTCGATCCAGGTAGAGTTTACATTTCTTTGCTTTATGAGAAATTTACATTTCATTGATTTGGCTGCAAGTGCTAAGTAACTCACTTGAACTTGCCTTTTAAAAATTACGATTGCTTAATTTGTCAACCAGTATGCAATATTGCTTGTGTCCATTCGAACTTGTCCTGTCCGGATGTTTAAAGCGCGGATGGTTGAGTAGTTGAGAGCGTGTATTATTAACATTGGAGCCAGAATGCGCATTCCGAAGCTTGCATATTAGTGTTGGACATTTCTAATTCAATCACACCTGTTAAAAATGTTTTTTTTTTATGTTGAACAACTAGTTGCTAAACATTAAGTTCAAATTGACAGAAACATTTGTTATAAGTTCTCAAACATTAGTGGTCAAAGCGCCATGTTTTTCTCTCAAGACCTGAAATTTTTTTTATTCAGAAATTTAAAATAATATAACCGACAGCTCACATGTATTGTTTAAATGTAAAGCATTTCATGGTTAAAGCATGAATTATAATTAACTTCAATACTTTCGTCTGCCTATTAGAAGGTGCATGGTGATCCAGCAGCTGAGGCTGTCATTTCATCTCTTAGTCAGTCTGCTCGGCCATACCGCGTATGCCAATTCATTCTGGGTAAGTTTTCAAAACCATGTATGTCCAATTGCCTCTGCTTCTCTCTTGTTATTGATTCATTAAATGTAAAGTATTTTCTCCAAGTCTTGAGATCATTTACTGGGAATTGATCAAATGACCTGACATTATCCAGCTGTTTAAGCTAAATAATTGAAATCAGAAATATAGATATTTGCATAACTGCATCTGAAGTTTCTGAACAAAAATGTAAAGATTGTTTGTAGAATTTTACTCCAAGGGGAAGAGGAAAGTGCTTAAACCACATCATTTGAAGATGACAAGTCAGCAGCTTATAGTATGAACTTTAGCATCTAGAGTAAACCTTTGACAATCAGTCAAGTCATTAAATGTTCAGCTAAGTTTATTAAGTACAGTTTAATTTTCTCTTAATGGTAAGAAGAAGTTACAAAATACTCCAGTTCTATTTATAAAATGGTTAGCTATTATGCATCAAACGAGTTAGTGGTGAAATCACTCTGGGTTTTCCAGTCACACATTTTTAACTAGAAAAGTTTTGTCGGGGTGATCATATTTAACTTAACAATTGCCAGGTAGAAAAAATAGTGGCACATATCTCATAACAAATGTCCATTGCATTTGCATTCCTGGAAAACCAGCATGTGATTGTGTTACAGAAACCTTAACAGATTGTTTACATATTGACTATTTTGTGAGGGTCTTAAGACAAAAAACCCTCCAAGTGTACGCCACATACGTTTAGAGAAGCGTGAATGAAGTTTACTTGCGATCTTTGAATTTAGAGAAGTGTAAGTAAAGTGTACATATGTTGTTTGAACTGACAACACTTTACTTCTCCAGAGCACTCTCAGGTGGCAATGGCACAGTTTCAGGCTGCTGGAGCACTTAGAGATGCAGCTATACGAGAATGGGTATTTCTTGACAATGATGATAAAAGGCACTTGATAAGGTAAGCATGAGGTTAAAATTCCACAATATGTTTCCATGTTCATCAACTATTTACTTTTATTGGATATAAATATATAGGAAATGTTAAGTTTATCTGCCACAATTAGCTCTTGATCCTCTGCTAAGAGGATTATTGTCTATGTTTCACATTAGTTCAATTATCATTAGCTCATTTTCTCTTTGGTCCAGTGTTTTCTAGCATTAGTATTTTTTTGTTATTGTTTTTCTCATTTTCTGTCTAAGCTTTGACAACATAGGTTTTTCACTTTCCTAGATGTACTTACTATTGAAAAGATTTCACACCTGGCAAGTTGGCAATTATTTCATCCCTTAGTTTTATGCCTTTAAT